CCCCAAAACCCCAAAACCCCAAAACCCCAAAACCCCAAAACCCCAAAACCCCGATTCTTTAAAAATAATTTGAATAGTCTGTTAAATATTTATGAAAATGAAAACTGGTCTTTCCATTCTCATTCTTTCATTATTGCTGATTCAAATGTTGGCGCAGAGGGTTTCAACAACTCAAAGAACAGCTCCAATCAATACCAGAGTTGGTTCTTATGGAGGTAAGCCTTCAGAATATATTTTTGTTATCTCTTGAAATCTAAAATTCAAATAAAATTTTTATTTAAGTCCTTTATCATTCAAAGTACTCAAAATATGAAGGAGTGTTTATAAATGTGAGGTTTATTTTCAACAATCTGAACTTTCTAATGGAAAAACTCAAATAAGAGCTGGCCAATAATTTTCATCTTTCTTTTCAAATTCTTTTGGTTAAGGATTCTTAATTAGATCTAGGAATTCAAACAAAACTAGGAGGAACTACATCGACCAGTAGCAGGCCTACTTCTACAAGGACTACTAGTACAACAGGAACTTCCTCAACTTCAAGAACAAGTGCTACCTCCAGAATAATAGGAGCTTCAGGAGCTGTCTCAGGAGCTCAAAAACCAACTCAAAGAGGATCAATAGTTTCAACTGAGCCTATTCGTGTTGGAGAATCAATTATCACTAATGCTCAAGAAAGGGTTGAGCCAGGACGTCTGATGACTTCTACAAATGGAGACAGATTCTCTTCGACCAGTTCTCTACTAGAGTCAGATCCACATCGTCGTCATGTAAACTCGACCAATGAAAGATTTGGGAATATTATAGAAGAATTTAAGTAAGCTTCAGACATCACTTCTATAGAGTCATTGAAAGAAAAGAATCTACCCCAGTCATTGAATGGACAGAATCTACCCCAGTCATTGGAGATTATAAGAAAATAAATTTTCCCAGGAAAACGACTATGAATAGCAAATGTAAGTATTCAGAACTTCATATTCTTTCTCCAAATCTAACAGAAAGAAATATTTTATAGACACTGATAACTCAGACAATGTTTTTGGTGAAATCGATTATGATGTACTTGCAGCAGAGCTCTATCCAGGTAATCTTTCATGTCTTATTGTTAGACAACGAAGACTTCAATCCATCAATAAAAGAGAAAATCTCTTACAGCAGTAGCACAAATTCTACATCCCCAAAAGGAACAGAGGAGTCTCAAGAAACGAGCGAATATTCGAAACCAAAAGAAGATGTGTCTCCACCAAAGCCCTCTCCTGAGCAAATCAAAAAGGCAAGAGAGAAAGCAATCGCTGAGTATAAACAAGAGTTAGAGAAAGCCAAGCTAGAGGCAGTCAGAGAATACCAAACTGAGTTAGCAAGAAAGCAAGCAATTGAAGAATTTAAAAAACAGCTAGCCCAACAAGAAATTAAGAAAGGGAAACAAGAGTTGGTTGAAATGTTTGAAGAAACTTTTGATCCTACCTCATACCAACAATATGAGAGTCAGAGTCCTCAAAGGAACAGAGTTGAAACAAACAGACAGAATAGTGAAATCCAGGCTGCTATTGAGGAAGCTGTCAAAGCTCATGAATTTGAGAAATACAAGAATCCCCATGAAGGAGTTATTTCTGAAAAATGTGCTTTTACTGTCAAAGAGCAGCCAGATACTTTTTATCCAATTACACCGAATCATAGAGACTATTATTCTCAAAGAAATGAGATGAATCCCAATACTTCAGGATATTATGCTGATACTAATTATTATTCTGATACTAATGTGACTAAAAGCGTTCCTAAAATAAGTTCAACCCCATCAAATACAACTGAAATGCCAAATGATATTATTCCTGAACTAGTTTACGAAGAAGCACCAAAAACTGTAAAACCTAAACGTTTTGCATCATACACTCCAACTGTCACAAATAAAACACAAACTTATGAGCCAAGTACTGTAGTTGCTGAGAGAGAAGCTCATATAGCTCCAAGCATCGAATACTATGGAAATGGCCCAGCTGGAGAGCCTTCAAGCACCCCAGAACCAAGCAAAATAGTTACAGATTACGGATATTACCAAGAGCCATCTGAACAAACATTAAGTTATTTTGGAAATTCTCCTAGTGATAATATCTACGGAGGAAGAATTGAGCCTGTCATATACAAAGAAGACAAAAAAAATACTCCAGTTAATGAAGATTATGGAACAATTTCTTATCCTAGTAATACATATGGAGAGAGAATAGAGCCAGCTTATTACGAATCCTCTACTAATCCAAAGATTTATGAAGATTATGGAACTCATCAGTATCAGTCAACCAGCTATGAAAATGATTATCCAATTATTGATAGCTACAATCCAAACCAGAATTCTTACAGTTATCAAGAGTCAAGCTATTCGTATGAACCAAATACTGGATCAAGTTACCAGTCATTGAAACCTTATGGTGAAACTACAGGAAATGAGCCTTCTTACGATAGCTCATCTAACAATTATAGCTCTTATAATCAGCCAGAAAACAACTCTTATAGTTCTTCTTACTCTTCTAGTGGCACATCTTATTCTGGAAGTTCAAATAATGATGAAACTTATGGATATAGTAGGCCTGTTAGCACAACAAATACAAATGGGTCTTCCGGAGGGTCTAGTGGGTCAGATTACAACTCTCATACCTCCAACCAAAATAACTACAGCAGCTCAGAATCGAGCTACAGTAGTTCAGATCAAGATTTGAGTTTCTCAGACGGGTACTAAAGAACTTCTGCATCTTGAATCTTTAATTCAAAATTAGTCAATTATATTTTGTTAGTCAGGGGTTTTGGGGTTTTGGGGTTTTGGGGTTTTGGGG